GAGAAATGATGTCATCTATGAGAAATGATGTCATCTATGAGAAATGATGTCATCTATGAGAAATGATGTCATCTAAGGGAAATGATGTCATCTATGGAAAATGATGTCATCTAAGAGAAATGATGTCATCTAAGAGAAATGATGTCATCTAAGAGAAATTATGTCATCTAAGGGAAATTATGTCATCTAAGGGAAATGATGTCATCTATGGAAAATGATGTCATCTAAGAGAAATGATGTCATCTAAGAGAAATGATGTCATCTATGAGAAATGTTATCATCTATGTCCTAAATGAAGGCGTTTATTCATTATGACAGTTAATCATAAGCACAAGAGAATAGAGAGTGCAGGCAACTGTGGCAAAAACATACAGCGTCTCTTGGAGTGTCTTGTATTACTTACCACCTGAGTCCACAATCTAAATATAAGCCTTTACCAAATAGTTAATAGTAAAACCTGGTGTCAAATATCTTTACAACAGTTTAAATACTACTTTTCATACTGTTGTGTAAACTTCTTCTCGTTTGAAAATCAATGAACTTGGATCTAGTCAATAATAAAATGTTTTCTAAGGTATAATGTATACAAATCCTTATATTTCATTATCTACTGTTATAATTTTGGTTTTTGAATTCAACCATCAAAAATCGTAATTTACGTTTTTTTGGATTTTGTGCGTGTGTGATATATCTTGGAATATTCAAACTTAAACCCCTCATGTCAAACTTTTTCACTATATGCCACTCCTAATACCTGGAATGTAAGGCTGAGAAAAAAAATATCTCTGTTTCTCGTTTCCATGTACATCATTTTGAACTATGCGCTTCAGACGTTTTTTTCCTTCTAAAGCATTCCAAAATGCGCTTGTACTCACACTTGTCTCAAATTTCCCCCATTTTAGCTCAGCATTCAAAAAAAAAAATCGCCTCGTCGCCTCATTTTAAAATTTCCATGAAATGAGAAACAGAGAATTTTTTTTTCCTGGCCTGAGCGACATTCCACTCACTTCATAATCATATCATCATTAGTGTAGATTGTCCTGAGATTGAGAATACAATACTGCATATTATTTTATTTTCACTTGGAATTTATTTTTGCTATTTTCACTGAAGGTGTTAATCAGTCGAAGTACAATCCAGTGAAAATACCTTCTTTCCTACATTTTACATTCAACTCATCAAAAATTAGTGAAAATAAACAAGGCAGTCAAAATGTCCTCTCACCGAAATAAATTCCAGCTAAATTTTTACATTGCATTGTCTATTTCCATACAATTTTTTAAGTCACAAAGACTATTGAAATTTCAAACTTTCTAATATGTTTTAATATTTATATTATTTTCAGGAAGTATATTTGACACTGCCGGAACAACAGGAACAGTAAACAACACAAACAAACATATTGACACTGGTAGTACGATACAACTCAAACCAACAAAACAAAGAACACATGGCAAAAAAAGAAGCTTTTGTTTCAAACTCTGAAGATTTCGTTACAAAGCAAAACGAAAATACAATTACAGAAAAATTATGCTTAAAAATTTGTTCTCCACCCAATTCACTGTTTTATCAATACAATAACTTTTTGAGTGTTTTAGAGGGTTGTCAGCTGACTATGCTACTTATATTAGTCGTTATATGTAATGTACACGAAAGTCAGAATAATTTGGATTCCGTCCCAAAATATTTTACTCATATCTGCAACTGCAAAACATTAATCCATATATATTAGTTATATAGCAAATATATCACATTTTTATAAATATTGAAACCAGTCCTCTCAGTGGTGTCTTAAATAGTGAAATGAATCAAGATAGAATTTGTTTGGGTGAAACCAATTATTTGGAAATATTGGGGTTGACAGTGTGCTAAGGAAAGTTGATGGGATCTCTACTCTCTGTTGTTGATACTCTGGTAACTCTTGAGATATTTTATAAATTTTCTTGCGTGTTTGATAATATTATGACAGCAGTTTTTTGAATCTATATTCACTTCACTGCCAGGCTGCTTTTTGCCACAGGGTGGAAGAGTTATGATGGAGTCCTGGAGGATTTGATAATGTTACCTAGTGACATGACCCTTTACATAGTGATAACTTTATTCTTTTTAATTTAATGAAATATTTTGTAAAAGACCCCAACAAAATCATGTATTTGATGTAGATCATTAAAGAATCCAAATTGTCTGATCTTGATATGTAACCATACTAAAAGCTTGGCATTTAATCACTCTTATCTTTTATGTTGTTTTGTGGTCCTTTATCTGCCTAATTGTACACAAGCTACCA